ATGGCACTCTGAGGATATCCATGTACTTAATTCCCAGAACTTCTGAATATGCCACTTTACATGGCAAAAGGGACTTGGTAAAAGGGATGAAGGATTTGGGGTGAGATTATTCTGGTTTATCTGGTTGGTCCCAATGTAAATATAGGGGTCTTTGTAAGGGGACACATCACAGGGTCAAAATGAGTGAAGGAGATGTGATAATGGAAGCAGAGCCCAGAGTGATGACATTGCTGAACAGAGGCTATGGAGCCTGGAATGTGGGTAGCCTCTAGAAGCTAAAAATGGTAAGGGATAGATTCTCTCTTGGAGCATCCAGAAGCAACACAGTCCTGCCGATGTTTCAAGACACTTCTTAACTCACAGATCAGACCAGTTCACAAACATTTATTTAAATGTCTTGATTTTAGCCTCAAAGACCAATTTTTAGACTTCTGACCTCTAGAACTGCAAGGTAATAATTTCTGCTGTTATAAGCCATTAATTTGTGGTACGATGTTACAGCAACAATAGGAAATTAATACAAATACTGACTCTGAAATATCCACAGTCTCTAAAGCAGAAGACCCAGGGAGTTGCTAGTCTAGATAAGTGGAAGCTAAAAACTCAAGAGCAGTAGAAGCTTTCCTGATTGATACTAGATCCGTGAGGTAAGGAAAACTACCTGGGTAGTCAAGTTCTTCATCATCTCCGTGAACTTACTCCTTTGACAACTTTTACCCTATTTATGGATTTCAATTTGATTAGTAACCAAACCAGCTTTTTGTAAGGTTGGCATATCCATGGGAAATTTGCTGTTTTAGAACCAACCACACTCTCCCCACTGATTTAACCAGAGTCTGGCAACATTCAGGCAACAGACCCTTGGGAAGGTGGGGAAACATTCTCATCTAAAACAATTTAGATATCCTTTACTTCTAGATATCTAAATTGTTTTTTCAGTACTAGAAATTGAACCTAGGGGCATTCTACTATTGAAGCACATCCACAATACCCCCTGCCTTTTTTTTGAGACAAAGGTGCTAAGGCCTGCCTCCAACTTATGATCCTCCTGCCTTAGCCTCTAGAGTTGCTGAGATTACATGTGTGTGCCACCATGCCCAGCTAAGGCAATYTTCAGAACTCAAATCCCTAGTACTTTGTCTTCTGTGGGGAGATTGAGCAGAATATGATTGTGGTGGGTCAGCTGAAGTACCTCTCGGAGAAGAAACTTTCCAGAGCTTCCCAGAATGAAATCTGGGGATAGAATCACAGTCTTAGGCTTATTCATAAATTTAAGAGGAGTCAATACAAGTAGCCAGTTTCAGAATCAACTCAGAAACTGAATTACCTACAAAATTCAAGTAAAAAAATTAAAAAGAGCACAAGTTTTAGAATTAAATAGTTTTAGGTTTCATTTCTTTCTTTGTTGTATGTGTTACCCTGGGGAAATTATTTGTTCTCTATTAAGTTCAATTTCTTTATCTGAAGAATATAAATACTTACCTCATGGGATTCTGAACATTAGGTGAAATAAAGCATGCAAAGGGATTAGCACCCAACAAAAGCCTAATAAATGGTAGGAATTAAAGTTAATTTCTATTCTCAGAACCCCCTAGGTTGTATTTTTCCACTGTTCTCTCAGAGAAGTCAATATACCTCTCTGCCTTAGCCTCATTTAAAAATTATAGATAAGAATATAAACCCTCTAAGGCAGAGAATCAGTCTCATTCATTGTTTTGTGCTTAGCATCTAGCAGAGGGGCCTGATTGGGGTTTTTTGTTCATTCTCTACTGGGAATTGAACCCAGGGGCACTTTACCACTGAGCTATCTTCCCAGTCCTTTTTTGTTTTAAAGTTTAAGACAGGGTCTCACTGAGTTGCATAGGGCCTCACTAAATTGCAAAGGCTGGACTCAAACTTATGATCTCCTGCCTCAGCCTCCCAAGTCACTGGAATTATAGGCATGCGCCAATGTGACTGGCTATGGGTTCTTGCATTTGTAATAAATATTTATGAACTGATCTGATCTGTAAGTTAAGAAGGATCTGAGACACTAACCACAGCTATAATTATACAATTTTTCCAACTGTGACCAATTAGGTGGTGAAATAAATTGAGTCATAACCAGCATTTGTTTTCTAAAGAAGAACAGAATAGAAAATATCAGAGTATAAAACACATAGTAAGTTTAAGTACTGTTACATGAAACTTTCAGTTTTTCACATTTGTAAGTGAACTTGGTGACAATGTAAATGACACTTCTTACTGTGGGTAGGGTAAAAAAAAAAGTGTGAATATTCTAAGGGTTTCATCTTGCCAACATTTGGTATATTCTTTCTCTTTCTCTCTCTCTCTCTCTCTCTCTCTCTCTCTCTCTCTCTCTCTCTCTCTGTTTTTTTTTTTTTTTTTTTGGCAGTGCTAGACATTAAACCCAAGGCCTCTTGGACTCTAGGCGAGCACTCTATCACTAACATACACCCTCAGTTCTTTTCTAACTTTTTAATTTCAGCAATTCAATGTGTATGTAGTGATATGAAACTGTGGTTCTAATTTTTATTTCCCTCATGATGAGTGATRTAGAGCACCTTTTCACTGTCACTACCCTTTGGACACTCTCTTTAGAAACCTCTTTCGTAACTACTTTAGAAAACAAATTGGCAGTATTTACTAAAGCTGAACATTCATTTTCTGTCATCCAGTGATTCTATTTCTATTTATTTACCCAACAGAAATGTGTACATATGGTCACAAAAGACATGTACAGAAATGTTCATAGAAACACTATTTTAATAGACCCAAACTGGAAATTGCTCAAATGCCTATTAACAATAGAATGGATAAACAAACTGACATATTTACACACAATAGATCTTATTTAGAAGCAAGAACAAATGAACAATAACCGAGCACAACAATGTAGAAGAATCCCAAAAGCATAATATTGAGTGAAAGAAGCTGGATAAAAAGTAAAAAATGTATGACTTCATTTCTGTAAATGGAAGTGCCTAGACGCCAGGCACTCTGTGGAAACAGAGAGAAGGTCACAGTCCCCTCCCCGCCCAAGGACAAAAAAAGGGGCAAGTTGGGTGTGGTGGCACACAAACGTAATCCCAGCTACTGAGGAGGGTGAGGCAGGAGGATCATGAGTTGGAGGCCATTTGGCAAGATCGGTCTCAAAATAAAAAATAAAGGGCAGGGTGTGCGGCTCGGTGGCAGAGCACCTGGCGGTGCTTAGGTGATTAGGCAACACGAATCTATGGTGTTCAATATAAGGGTCATGGTTATTCTAGGACTCATAAGAAGGCTTTCAGGGGTGCAGGCTATGTTCTCATTTTTTATCTGAGTGCTCACCATAGTGTGCATATGCTCAGTTCATGAAAATTGGATTATAAACATATAATTTGTGATTCTTCTGAAAGTTAACAAATAATACTTTTTTTTTTTTTGCAATGCTAGGTATCAAACCTTTCACATGATTACTTTTGGTTTAAGGTATGAAAAACACTGATGGAAAGAATCTCTGATACACTCACTATCATTACCATCAAGAGGTCATAGAGCCTTTGCTTAAATAACTTGAGGGTCAGGGATCTCTGTACTGCTCAGGTAGCTGTTTAGAAAGCTCTTCCCTTATACTAAGTCATTACTTGCCTCCCCACAAATTGCTCCCATCAGTTGTTCCATCCTCCTAAGAGATTCTAAATTAATCTAATCCCTCCACCAACAACTGCTCTTCAGAACTTTGAAGAGAACAACCACATCCTTCCCCTGTTCCAGTCTGTACTTCTCCAGACTAAAGAGATTCAGGTTCTTTGGGTATCCCTGAAGGCATGGCTTTTAGTCCCCTCCTGTCTCTTTGTGCTTTTTTAATCTAGTGATTCCCTAAAGAGCACACTCTTCTAGGACAGGAAATGCCTGAGTAGAGAGAGCAGAGAAACACGAAAAGTAGGAACAACAATTAAAAATCTAGAATCTACAAWTTGTCTGGCAATAGACCCCATGCTTCATTTTGCCCTTTCTTTAATATTCACATTAAACTGTTTACTCTTGTTGAGCTTAACAATCAACTAACTCCCCCACACACACACCACCACCACCACCAGGTCTTTTGTATAAGTACTGTTAAACCCACAATTTACCTTCTGTAGTTTTAGTCTTCACTCTCTCAGAAATCATAATGTTCATTGGCCCCACCTCACTTCTCCAAAGTCAAACCCTGTAGATGTGTCTATGATGGAAACACTTCTGATATATAGTCTCCCCAYCTACACTTCCCCTAAAAACAAAAATTAAGTCTTTGTCTCAACAGAGGGTCCCTTATCCTTACCCCTCCCTGGAAGGAGTTCCATCTTAAAGAATATGTAGGGGAAGGAGTTGGGAGTGGAGGTTGGAGAAAACAGAATTCCACCAAATATCTCCAAAGTCTGACTTAAAAGCAGACTATTGCCCTGGCTCCAGCCTGAGCAATGCAGGGTACCCTGAACTCTTTGTCTTATTTTCTTGGGGAAAGTCAGCTCCAACTAGAGGCTCTGGAGATAGAAGAGCGTTGCTGGGCTCTGCTCACTCAGTCTTTTGCCTTTGTGTGACTAGTGCAGGGTGAGGTTGAGAAGGAAAACGTGGCAGGGTGCAAATGAATCCGATATTGTTCAAAGTGCTAAAAATTAAAGGTATCTCTAAAGAAAAACCAAGTGGGGTCCCTCTAGTCTATGGAAAAGGAGGACACCAAGTCAGGGAAAGACATACATTTCTACACAAACTTCCAGGCAACCTCATTGGGTATTTTTAATGTCTAGAGTATGTGGAAGGAAGATTCATTAAGCAAGGGAAGCACCAGAAAACAGAACATGTGCAGGAGGACCAGGAAAGATGGACTGGGAAACAGAGAGGGCGAACAGATAAAAAAGAGAACCGGTCAAAGGCCCCAAGGGGTGAGGGGCGACCTCTTCCTAAGGGCGCTGGGGGAGGGGACAGAGGAGGGCCACTAATTCCCTGATGCAGCTAGAAAGAAGCAGCTCACGTACCTCGCCCACGTCTGCTCCATTTTCCAGGCTCTTTCCTTACTCTCAGGGCGCTCCTCACCCGGGAGTGGAAGCAGCCTGGGAAAATGAGAAGCCTTGCTCAGGAATCTCCAGTGCAAAAAGCCCCAGCTTTTTCCTCCCCAGCTCCTTCTTTCGGCGTCGGAGGCAAAGAGAGAACTCGCCCTGCTTTTTCAGAAAACCAGTTTGACGTGGCTGAACCTCCAGCTAACGGTGCAACGGGCACAAGGGAGGGACTGTTCTCAGGAGCAAGCTGGACGCTGAGCGGAGCTGCGCTGGAGCTGTTTTTGGAAGCCGGGGCCAGAGGCAGCGGGCGCGGGCGGTGCGCGCACACACTCCCAGGCTGAGACACGACTGGCTGGCACGAGTTGCTCCGCACCAGCTGAGCTGTCAACCGCGAGCGAGGGAGGCGGGGCTCCCKACAGCCAGTGTGCTCCTGGCTGAATCCGCCCAGGTTACACGATGCCTGAACACATCCCTGGGTCTTCCCGGCCTCTCACAGACTCAAAGAAATGATGTTGGCAACGGGGGAGGGGGCTTAGAGGACGCTTTCCCACACCTTCTATCCCGCATTCATCCCAATGAGAGGCTCTGAATAAAACCAACCAACTGTAGGGAAAATCTGGAGAGGAGGTCCTCCCACGTACACGACTGCATCACCCACCCACAGGTAACCGCGGAGCCGGAGACGGAGTCTAGGAAGGTTCCAGTGCAATCCTGCCTGAACGCAGAGGTATGCATTAGCTGGTCACAGAACATGAGTTATTTTCCTAGAGATATGACTCACCACAAGCTAGGGACAGAAATCTCCCTCAGAAAGGGAAGCGTCTTACCCTTATTAGCTACCTTCATCTCAAACATTCCTTGATTCTGTGGTATTCTACCTCCTTTCTTGTCGTTTTCCATAGCAACTGGGCTATATCATGAGCTCCAAGGAGATAGAGGGTTTCTGGACATCCCAGAAAACATTAGACAAACTTTAAGACAGTAGCAATCAGGAGCTCAAATCTCCCCCTGGGGGGCTGTTTTAACATCACGGAAAAGGTCCTTCTGAGATGACACTGCCTCAGACACTGAACCATCTACTTATATATATCAAGGTTTAAACAAGGCAGACATGCCATAATTAGACATTTATAGCCTGAAGCTCCTTTCTAGCTCTGAAATAAAATCTTTTTTATTATTAAATGACACAATCACTGTTATTATTTGCAATTACCACTGATCTTTTTTTAATTTGCAAAAAGCTTTATAATGCCTACATGTGGCAATGTTGATTTAGTTATACTTGCTTACAGATGATAAGTTTGAAGCTAAGAAAGCTCAAAGTCTCTGCTGAGACTCTGATACAGGTTCTCCTCTCTTTAGCATGGCTCCAGAGGCACTGTTCTCTGAATTTCCAGATATGACCAAAAAGGTAATGAATCTATTCTCTCTGGCATCCTAAGAGTTTGACTCAGAAAAGCCTCTGGCATGCCGGAATATTTGCAGGACTGTAAGGAGTCTGTATTCTTGGGCAAACTGTCATCTTGCCTCCCATTTCCTATTTTAGTTCTCCTAATAATTACCAATATAAAGTAGGGATGGGGAGGATAGGACAACAAAGCATTTAAGAGTTCAGAGAATCTGTCTAAAAGGCCTCTGGGCCTACAATCCCCCAACCCCAACACTCAGTTTTGTTGAATTTGCTCCTGAGCTTAGAATGCTATCAGGAAAATTTTGAAGGTCCAGTCTGACCATTGACAAGGCTCACAGGCCACCTGTCTTGAAAAGAATCTCCTGTTGCCTCTGAAGCAAAAAAAGCAGGGAGAGTCAGATTTCCATCCTCCATACCAAAGTTGGTGCTATATTTAGTTGTGTCTCAAATCAAATTATGGGCTATTGAGTTGAAGAGAGGAGCTCTGTCTACAACCAGACACACATTGCATTCAAGAAATCATAGCACTAACCAGGTAAACTGTGGGCTCTCAGAAGTGATGTTACAAAATAGTTTTATTTGTTTTTAAAATAACTATTTTTAAAAATTCATAATATTATCATAGAACACTTGAAAAACACATAAAGGTATACAAAAATAAATTATCCTCACTACCCAGAAATAATCAATGTTAATAATTTGTTGAATATTTTTTCAAATATTTTTTTACATTTTTTTATGAGAGCTTTATGGTTAAACATAGTAGTTGGTTTTATCCTGAAATTTGTTGAATTTCTTTCCAGTCTCTTAAAAGTGTAACTCTTAATCCAAACACTGACTCGAATACACAAACAAAAGGCTTATACAGATAAGAATACATTCTCAAGAAGAGAAACTTCTTTGTTTTATATAAAATCATATTTGTTGTCAAAAAACAATTTTTGTGTTAGACTTCAAAAGAAAAATGTTCACTCATATAACTATTCCTGCACAAATGTTTACATTTCTCCATATGCCATTCAACCATTATCCATATATGGTTATATTTATTTACATATAATTACAGCTTAGACATAAGTGTATATTCTTTTTCACTTTTAAAATATTTTTCCATGTTTTAGGGAATGTTCATATTTGTTATTCTAATGGTTGTATAATGTTTTATATTCTCAGTAGAACCATTGCTTACTTAATTATATCCTACTATTACAAAGTTATGCTGTTTCTAATATTAGATTCTAATAAATAATGTCTTAATAAGATTTTCCTGCCTTCATTATTTTATTATTTTGAATTATGCTATGGTTTGAATGTGTGGATTCCTCTAAAATTCATAGATTGTGGAGACTAAAGAGTAGAGCCTAAGAAGTATGACCTTTGGGGAAGTGATTAAGTCATGAATGCCATACCCTCATTACTAGGATTAGTGCTTTTATGAAATAGGTTGAAGGCAGTGGCCTAGTCTTTTTTTGCCTGTCTGTCCCTCTCACCATGTGAGAATACAGCATTTATACCCTCTGGAGGATGCAGCAACAAGAAGCCACCCTAAAAGTAGACAGCAGCCCTCCCCAGTTACTGAATCTGCTGGCCCCTTTGTCTTGGACTTACCAGTCTCCAAAACTGTGAGAAATAAATTCTATTTTTTATAAAGCTACCCAGCATAATAGGAATGCAAAGGACTAAGGAATTCACAGGAATGCCCAGAATGGACTAAGAGAAATTATTTCTTTAGGATAACTTCTTAGACATAGGAATGGTAGGGTAAAAGGATTCTAATTTTATCATCTTATATATCCTTGGCATTAGGATTTATCATTCTAAATTTTTTTCCTTACTTAACAGATAAATGATTCAATGGTTATAAGGTATTTTAGATACATAACTATATATATTTAGGATACAATTTTGCATCATTTTATTTTACTTTACATTTCTTAGACTATATATATATATATTAGGTGTAGATGGACACAACACAATGCCTTTATTTTTATGTGGTGCTGAGGATCGAACCCGGGTCCTGCGCATGCTAGGCGAGCACTCTACTCCTGAGCCACAATCCCAGCCCCCGTTTCTTAAGACTATTAATCAGTAAGTTTCTATTTCATATGCTTACTTACAAACCATTATTTATAGCAGCCAGTATTCAGGAAATCTTTCTATGTTGAGTTACTGCATTAGTCATCTTTTGCTGAAACAATGCAATTTAACAAAGAATTTCAGGATTTTGCAGCAGACATCCATTTCTTACTCAAGGATCTGTGCTCTAGATATGGTTGGGTATAGGTTAAGTCAGCTTCATACATTTTTCATTCCAGGACCCCTGCTGAAGAAGCAGCAGCAATCTGGGGAATATTCTCCTGGAAGAATACAGAAATATAAGAGAGTTGGCAGGGATGCAAACCATCTCCTAAAAGTCTCTGCTCTGAACCAGTACACYGTTCCTTCTGTCATATTCCATTCACCAAAGTAAGTCATACAATGTAGTCCAAAGTCATGGGTTCAGAAAAGAGTAGTCTTCACCCAGAGTATAGGGTTGAAGAATGAATATTTGTGGAACAATTATATAATCTACCAGTCACTAACTACATGTAGAGCTTTCTGGCTTTTCATCAAACTTTTTTCTCCTTGGGGGGGGGGGTAGATGTTAACTTTACCCTTTTCTACCGTAATTAAAATTAGTTGTTTGGCCAATGAAATGAAACTTGGTTTGACCATAGAAACATGAAAAGATGTCTCATGTGATTACTCAGGTAAAATCTAGATGTTTTTTCAGAGCCAGAATATGATTGGCCATTGTCAATTTCCACTAAATCAGTATGTTTTGAAATGAAGATTTCATTAATCTGATCTGGGATATTATGAGGATCACAACCAAACTGCTGACCCAAACAGAAACATGTGCAATGAGAATAACATATGTTTTTTTACTAAGTAACTGAGATTTAAGGATTTGTTACTGCAGCATATCCTGGCCTATCCTGACATATTATTTTTTATTACCATTTGAAATAGAGAGTCGCTATACAAAAGCCACACATTTTCTTCCTTGTGTATCTGCTTCCAGTTTTATGAACTAGAACTGAAATAATCTATATATATGATATCAATGAATTAAACCAGTTATTCCTTACTGAATGAACTGCTTTTAATTTGGTCAACTAATTGTGATTCAGAAAATATTTTAATTGAGTAAAGGGGACACAAAATAAAAAGTCATATCTTTTGCAGCTCCAAATTTTTTAAAAATTATTTTTCTTTTCTTCACTCTAACTTCATTCTGAGTAAGAAGGACTATGATTCTTGTCATGGGTAACTGCATGATCTATATGGCAATAAGAAAAATAATAATGTCTAATATATTTTTGACAGATTCTTTTCTAAAAGTATTGGGTATAATAACTTCTTTCATCCTCACAATAACTTTATGAGGTAGGCTCTCCTTATTTTTATTTTATAAATAATTAATGTGGAGCACATTGAGGTGAAGAATACTACCTAAGTCCACAGAGCTGATATATGGCAAAGTTGATATTTTAAACCAATCAATTTTGTTTCAGAATGTTATGCTCAACCATTATGCACAGTGCTTCTCTGATTTTACACCTAACATTCTTTGAGCACTTAGATAGGAGGACAATATGTCTGCAACATCTGTCACTTCACTGATCACTATAGGTTATTCAACTGATTACTCGTTAGCAGATGTCTGCCTGGTCCCTCCAAGTCCTCTGTCCATCTCTCTAACCCTGGATTTTAAAACARTGTCCTTTCTGGATTTATTCCTTTTGGTTTTTTTGTTTGTTTGTTTGTTTTTGTTTTTTGGGTACTGGGAATTTAATCCAGGGGCGATTAACCACTGAGCTACATACCCATCCCTTTTTAAAATTTTTTTTTATTTTGAGAAAGTAGCTTGCTAAGTTGCTTTGGATCTTGCTAAATTGCTAAAGCTGGCTTTGAACTTGCAAACCTCCTGCCTCAGCCTTCCAAGCTGCTGGGATTAAAGGTGTGCACCACAGCACCCAGCTTCTGGAAACATTCTGAGATCTGTGGTAAAGACAACCACAAATTCTTGGCTACTTCTCCCAAAGAGAGGTAGAATCAAATTCTTCTACCTTTAATTTGTGTTGGCCTTTTTTTAAACTAATAGGATGCAGCCAAAGAGATGTCTGACTGTGAAAGACGGGTCAATAAGTAGCTTTGCAACTTCCATGTGAGACTCTTGGGATACTGGCTTTTGAAGCCATAAGGTGCCACATAAGAAGTCAAACTACCATGCTAGAGAAACAATATAAAAGGCCCTGAGACTCACAGAGAGGGGGAAGGTTAACGGAGCCCTAGTATCCAGCAGTTCCCATTGAGGTGCCAGGCATGAGGTGTGAAGAGTCCTTCATTAGTTGGACAAAACTGAACAAGCCTGGCTGTGGCCAAGATGAGAGTAGATCTGCCCTGCCGAACTATGCTAGAATTATGAACCACCCCAAATCTTGATATAAATAAAATGTYTGTGGTACTAAGCCATAAGTTTTGGAATATTTTACTAAATAAGTGTTAGATAACTGTAACCAAATTTGTTTTCTAGAAACAGGATGCTGCTGTAATAAAAATCTAAAACAAATGGCAATGACTTTGTTACATGGATGCAGCAGAAGCCAGATAGGCCTCAAGAAAAGTGCTAGTGAAAGCTGGAAGAACTTTGCAGAGACTGATGGGAAAACTGTAAAGGACAGTGAAGAAAATACTACAGGGGACTGGAAAAAGATGACCTACATCATATAGTGGCAGAAAGTTTATCAAAATYATTGCCTCTGATAAAGTGGAAAATACAAAATCCACCTAATGAATGGACAGATCAGGCTCAGAAGATTTTTAGGCCAAATTTCAAAAGTGCTAATGGGTTTCTTAAAACCACATTATGATAAAGTATGAATAGAAAAACCTGAGCTACGAAAAAAAAAAAAAGAGTTGGTTTTTGAGCAGAATTCAGAGAAAGTATAAAGAGCCAGGATTTGCTAGATTGAAAAACTACTTCTCATCCCCATCTCTTCAGACAGCAGTAGCTTTCAAAATAAGAATTGGCTTCAGGACAAAAGTCAAATCCAAGATGTTATTGTTAGACCCTCGGATAAGACCTCAAGATTTACTGGATGTCTCATACATCCTTTCAGTCAAACAAAATGGCCTCTAAGAATCTTAAGGGTGTGCCTCTCCCCTGGACAAAAACATTTCTAATAATCTAAAGAATCCATTATCTCACATCAGACTCATAAGCAGTCCAATCAATTAAAAAAAAGAGAGCATTTTCAGAATGGCATGTGGTATGACATTTATCCAGAAGAGTTGATTATAAATTAGTACAAGTGAGTTGTACCAGCATGGACTGGAAGGAATTAAGACAGTATAGAATGAAAGATGACTTTCTTGTCATTATTCCTTAAATAATACAGTATAAGAACAATTTATGTAGCATTTATATTGTATTGGTGCTATAGTTTAGATCTTAATTATCTCACAAAGGCCCATCTATTGAAGGCTTTGTCCTCAGCCCATGACAGTATTGGTCCCTCAAAAAATCTACTGATGCTCAAGTCCCTTATATAAAATGGTGTAGTACTTGCGTGTAACCTATGAACACCCTCCCAAATACTTTTATAACTTTTTAAAATTAATTTTAATTGGTATATTATACATAATAATGGGATATACAGAGACATATTCATACATGTGCATAACATACATAATTTAGTCAATCTTTACATTATTTCTTGATTATAAGTTTGTCATTGTGGTGACAACATACCTGAGATAATCAACTTAGAAAAAGGAAAGGCTTATTTTTCTCACAGTTGCAGTCTGTAGCACTTGGCCCTGTTGCCTTTGGCCTGTGGAAGTACAGTAGAACATCATGGTGTGAACACGTGGTAGAGGAGCCCTATTCAACTCCTGGTAGCCAAGAAGCAAAAAGAGAGAGAGGAAGGGGCTATGGCTGCAATATCCCCTTCAAGGGCACACCCCAGTGACCCAACCTCTTCCCACAAAGCCCTACCTTTTAAAGGTTCTACCAACTCCCAACAGTACCACAGACTGAGGAACAAGCCTTTAACACATGGTCCTTGTGAGACATTCAAGATCCAAACTACAGCAGCACCAATGAAATGTAAATGATACATACATAGTTGTTATACTGAACTGTTTAGGGAAWAATAACAAGAAAAAAAGCCTACACATATTCAATATAGCTGCAGTTTTTTCCCCCATTTTCCATCTGCAGTTGAATCCATGGATGTGGAACCTACAGATACAGCAAGCCAAGTATGTAATACTGGACTTTTCCATGGAGAAAACTTTCTAATAGGGTTCATAAATTCAAGTCTGTTAACATGTATGAGTCTAAGTTCTTAATGTAAGAGCCTAACAGGCAGAACTACATCACATAGATGTACCTAGTTACACAGGTCATTCAAGTAACCTGGAGAGAAATGGTTGTACATACATGAATGGCAAAATCTGCCCTTCAGTAGCTGGAGCAGGGAAGCGGGTGGTGAGATGTGGGGCTCTGAAGACTATACATAGCAGGCAAAGTGGCAGCTGTGCTTCAGAGTAACAGAGATCAGAGCAGGAAAAGTTTATGAAAGAATGGAAAACAACCCTTAGGTTAAGCATAAATACTTACGGTAGGCAAGAAGGAGGTTTATAAGGGACTTTAATCTGGTAGCTAATACTGATCGGTCTTAATTTTATTCCCAAAAGATGACAAAACTCAAGGACAATCTGGTTACCTAAGTTTATTTGATTCAACCTTAGTTGAGCAAACACAAAGCTCTTGCTAGACATTGTACTACACATTTAAAACGTCACGTAGAACTCAAGGCAAGTATTCATCAAACATAACACAAATCAGTTTGTATAAAGCACAGAGAACAGAACATGAAGGAGAGAGCACAAAATTAAATTTGACTAGAGAAATTTTCATAGAGTAGGCAGCATTCAGGTAGGATACTAAAATTGTAAAATTCAGTACTTTCATTAAAAACGTATTAGCTTGTTTTAATCATCCCACAATGTGTACATATATCAAAATATCACATTGTATCTCATAAATTGATGCAATAATTGTCAACTAAAAATTTAAAAATCAATTTTAAAAAAGTATTGTTGAAAAAAATGTTTCAATTTTCACTGGTAGAAAAAAATGTTCACAGCCTCCCCTGGGTGATTGCCTTGGGTATCAATCATCTGAAAGGACAGTGTCGAGTAGCCAATGGCACTGGCAGACTATACAAGTTGCTAAGATTACTGGCTCTGTGGTCAATTTTCAGCCCTGTGATGTTGGTCAAGTTACTATAACTCTGTGCTTTAGATTCCTCATTTGTAAAATAAGCTTAATGATAATGACCACTCCATAGGGTCACTGTGAAAACAAAATGCAATAATATACTGAAAGTGTTTAATTCAGTACCCAGCACATT